GAAGCATCTTTGCTCTGGAAATTGTTATTGAATATGTTAATGCTGTAATGAAATGCTTCTAATCATGTGGTTATTAAATAATTAAAAAAATATATTATATTTAGTATTCTTAAAAGATACAGAAATAGGGCCCAGTGTGGTGGCACATGCCTTTAATCCCAGCACTCAGGAGGCAGAGGCAGGTGGATCTCTGTGAGTTCAACACCAGCCTGGTCTACATAGTTCCAGGACAGCTGGGGCTACAGGGAGACCGTGTCTCAAACAATAACAAACAAAAAACAAACCAAAACAAAACGAGATACAGAAATGACAGCACTAAGGAGGTAAGGGAAAGGGGTGACAGAGCAGACAGACAGGCAGGCAGGCAGGATGGATGGAAGGAAGAAGTGACAGAGGAGAGGGCCTAGAAAACAGACAACAAGCATACACTGAAACATAGGAGAACTGTGATACTCCACTGATAGAACATACGAGAAGTCATTGCAATCCTTCAGAGTGACAAGCAAGATGATGAAAAAATTATGAGCCTGAGAAAAGAATCCAAGCTATCCAATACTTCAGTTAAGGTATGCTCAAAAAAAACCCAAAAAACAAAACAAAACAAACAAACAAAAAAAAACCAAAGTATGAAAAGAGGCATAAATAATCCAAGAAATAAAATTGCTCAGAACTGAAGGACCCACCAATCATGCTAAAGAATAAATATGCACAACCAAGAGCCAGCACTACTGGCTGGCCTTAAGCTTTAAGAACACTTTAAAATACCAGTAAAGGGGTTGGAGAGATGGCTCAGTGGTTAAGAGCACTGGCTGTTCTTGCAGAAGACCTTAGGTTGGAATACCAGCATCCACATGGTGGCAAACAACCATCCATAACTCTAGCTCCAGTGGATCCAATGACCTCTGTGGGCACTGAACGGCATGGGTGCACTTATGTATATGCAGGCATAATACTCATACACATAAAATAAAAATAAATAAATAAAAATACCAGTAAAGTAAAACAAAGGATTCTGAGCATGTGAGAAAGAAAAATCAGGTCATGTATCAGAGAGTAAGAATTCTGATGGCACTGAACTTTTCAACAGAACTGTATTTTTAGCTAAGGAATCAATCATATAGACAGCTGAGAATATACTTCTTGAAATATGAAGATGTCGATTTCTTGAGAAGTTATAAGAGTATAAGAACAGAAGAAGGTAATAAACAAATGAGAAAAAGAAAGGCATACACAAACAGCTTCAGGCCAGGACAACAGCAAAGAGAACAGTGCTCACAGTGGGACAGGACAGGGAGCACAAAGTCATCACTTCAACAGAAGACACGGTTCTGAGACAGCCTGGTCCAAAAGAAGAAAAATGGCTTACTGCATAAGTGAATCTTTGAATCAAAAGCACACAAAGTCAGGTACAGAGTGGAAGAAAAAAAACCTCTAGAGGTTGCTGGGTAGCGGGAGGAGACTGTATGAGAGAACAGAATTGAATTAACTAAAATAGGACTATCTTTATATTGGAAAGTCAAGAAGTCAGTAGACAAAGCCTAAACTGGATAAATCAGGAAGCAAGAGAGTAAACATACTATGAAGAAATATAGAAAACTATCAAAAAAGTGAGCAAAAAAGAATGACATGCAAATGTACATGGTCAGTGTGTCAGAGTGTGGGAGGGAACAGGAGGTTTTTTTCCATTATGCCCTTAAGAACTACTTGCTTAATATACACATATTAATTTGATAAAAATGAACTTTTTCATTCACAATTACAACTCTGAAATACTTTGGTCCCAATGACTTTTATTGTTAGCTATTTAACAAGGACTTGAATAAATACAGTGATCTATGGTGCTTATAGTAGAACTCAGCCTTATCCCGAGAAGGCTGTAAGTGGCACATGAGGGCAACAACAAGGTATCTCCCAAAGCCCTAAAAATTTTTAGCAGTGAGATTATTCACTGGAATTAAATTTCAAAACATACTATGGACAAAAACCAGAGAAACTTTAAAATTCACTCAGACTTGGCTCAAAGCAGCCTAACAGCAATAAGATAGCTGAAGGGACTCTGACAAAAAAAGGGGCTGGTCAGCCAGGGAGCCACACAACAGGAGCAGTTCTACAGGCAACACTGGTCTCCTGCTCTGTTAGGGGGAGAACCTCTAAGTTCCCATGACAAAGGTTCATGTATCTCCAAAACAAATGTATGGTGGTCATTACAGTGTCAGTGATTATCAGATACCTACATTTACTCCACTTCTGACATTAAACTTTCTATGTAAACAAGCAAAAATAGGGGAAAAACAAAAAGATTACAAAGTGATTCACTTACTGATTATATTTCTCACTAGCATTATTTTATAATCAGTCTCTAAGTTTAGTGAATATTGTTTCCTATGGAGGATGAACTACTTTTGATGAGCTATGCTCCTGGAGGACTGAGAGCTACGAGCCAGACCACTGAAGTTCATAAAGTTACAGCCACACTAAGTAAGTACATCTAGTGGGTTTTTCTCCTTTTCTTTACATAACAATGGGTGAAAAATATAAATAGATCAATAGTTACATAAGAAAATACTAATCTAATGCAATTTGCTACAACTCTTAAATGCACCCATTTGACTCTAACGTCTTCATACTATGTAGTTTGGAGCATCTAGCCCCGAGCAGCTCACACTCTACTTCCAAACAGCTGCCAGGTTATTCAGTTTCTCAGTACTACTTGTCCATCTTCACTGGTATAATCAAATTTTATTTGGAATATTAATTAATAAGTATTTCTCCATATGCCCATGCTCTTTCCTGTCAATAAACACAAAGTATAAAGACTTACATGGTACTGTTGTTCCAAATCTTGTGGGATTGAGAACTATGAACCTGTTCTTCAAGCTTCTTCTGCCCACACCTTGCGCTCCTATCAACACTAGTGTTTTTCTCTGGAAGGGTGGCATTTTTGCTACCTCCTCATATATCTGGATTTCATGACGATCAAATTCTAAATGTGAAAAGAAGGGAAAACATTATACTCAGTTATGTTTTACATATATAGAAACTCTCTCTGCTATTCTGTCTGCTAATGGTCTCAATGTTTTGACAGTTAAACATCACTTGAATTGTGCATTTAACACAGGTTTATTTTCACAAAGTGGTAAGGTATAGGACACTATATCTTGATCTAAATGTTTGTTTTCATGCATGTACCTTTAAACATTTATCTACCATGTGAGAAAAATCCCTTCATTTTATCCTTAGTCATTAAATATTCTATACATTAAAGACTCCTTGTCAGCAGTTATTGGTAGAAATAATTGCCTTAATACAATCAAATTACAGCATATGTGACTCACACTAAAACGCATGTATGAAGTATATAGGACAGGACACCTGGTTAGCTGCCTCCCTTGCACAAGAGAGCATGCCACCCTCAACTACATAAATGAGTATATTCTGCACAAAATGGAGACAGACAACATGCTCACATTTAAGTATTAAGAGTTTGAAATTTACATATAAAATAAAAAGCTAGATAAAAAATATTTCCAGTAGAATGTAGCCAAAAATTATAATCTTAGGCAACAAGAAAGTTAAAGATTTTCCATTTTGAAAAAACCTTTTAGGGACATATATTTAATGAATATTTAATCATAAAGTCAAAATGATTCTGAAATAGCACATTATCCATCAGTATTGCTAAACTCTCAATTTACAGTAATTAATTCTTCTTCCTAAGTTATCATTTCACTCATTTCTTCTTTGTACAAATTTCTCCATGGTAGATAGAACAATATTAGGAGAGAAAAGAAACAATTTTTCCCTACTAAATGATTTCCTTCATAGTATGCTCTTTGATTTATTACCAGTTCAGAGGTAGCGCTGAACTCAAGAAAGTAACTATGGTAGTTTGTATTGCTAGCTTTCTCCTTTTTCTTATGCTTAAAGTTAACTTTTATAATAGTTGGTTACATAAGGCCATTTTCACGCAGCTATGCAGTGTATTTAGAGCACATTCTCCCCACCATTCCCGTTGCCCTCCCCTCTCTTGTCCCTCCCATTAGTACTCTTTTTTTCCCCCTAGATAGTTTCGCTTTGACTCTAATGGTAACTCTACATGTGATTTTACGTATTTATGTAAAGTCTAGAGCCCACAAGTGAGAGAAAAATGCATTTGTCTTTCTGAGACTAACTTGATTCAGTTAGCATGACTATCTCCAGTTGCACTGATTTTCTTGAAAATGACATAATTTCATTTCTTTATAGCTAAACCAAAATCTCAGTAGTGTATGTATACCATATTTTCTTTCTCCTGCTCATGGGCACCCAGGTTGTTCCATAGCTTTAGCTATTGTGAATAGTGTTGCCATGATCTCTGTGAATGGTGGGATTATCTCTGTGATATGTTGGTCTGGAGTCCTTTGGGTAAATAGCTAGGAATGGAGGAGCTGTGTCATATGGGTGATTTTATTGTTAGGATTTTTTTTTTTTCTTTTTTGGTCTTTTTGAGATAAGGTCTCCCAGTAGCCCCAGTTAGTCTGGAACTTGCTATGTGGACAAGGCTGGCCTCAGTGTCAGAGAGATCTGCCTCCCAAATGCTAGGACCGAAGGCATGTGTGACCACAACGGTCCTATTATTTAGTTTCCTGAGGCCCTCTATACTGATTTCAATAGTGGCTGGAGTAGTTTACATTCCCACCAGCAATGTCTAAGGGTTCCTTTGTGTCCACACCCTTGCTAGAAGCTATTTTTCTTAGTCATTGCCATTCTGACAGTGGTGTGGGGGGGTGGAAGTTGGAGGGGGCATTGAGACAGAATCTCAAAGTAGCTTTAATCTGCTCCTCTTTGATGGCTAGTGAGGCTGAACCTTTTTGTTTCTTCAAATCTGTGATGTATCCAATGGGTCTGATGGCATTTTAATCTTTATTTTCCTTTTTAGTTTTGCAGATTGAACCCCTGGCTTTGTGCATGGTAGACAATGGGCTTACTACTGAGCTACACTCCTAAGGCTTTAGGGAAGGAAGGAAGGGGGAAGAGAAAGAAAGTGTGTGTGTGTGTGTGTGTGTGTGTGTGTGTGTGTTGTGTGTAGCAGTAAAATGATCTTATCATCAAGCCAATAAACATCCATCACTGCACACAGGTATATTGCTTTGTTTTTAACAAATATGCTTTTTTTTTTAATATGAAAAAATTTATGCAGAACCAGAAAGACTGAGAGTTTGAGGCTAGCCTGGGCTACCTAGTGAAGGTACAGGAGGGAGGAGTAAGTGTTTGAGGCCAGCCTGTAATAAACAGTAAATTCAAGGTCAGCATGAGCATACAGCAAGGCCTTCTTTCTCTCTCAAAAGAGACTGGGCTGGAAAGACGGTAAAGTGGTTAAGAGCCCAGAGGACCCCAGTTCAGTTTCCAGCACCCACATGATGGCTCACTACGGTCTGTAAACACTCACTTTTGACCCTGTGGACAGCAGGCATGTACATGGTACACACATACATACATGCAGGCAAAACACTCATACAAGTAAAATAAAAATAAATATTTATTTTAAAAAACCCAAAGATTAAAAGATTTGAGAAAGACTATTAGAATACTCCCTCTAGACCAGACAAAGATTGGTCCAGGGCCATTTTTCCAAAAACTAACTGACAAAGCAATCGCAGAATACAATTCTCCTTAGTCCTAACTCTTTCTAACATCTTCGTAAAGGCATTTGCCCCTTATAAACAGCACATAGATTAGTATTTCAAAATAGTCTGAATGAGTAGCTTCAACATTTACAGCATAACTCTTTCTAACATCTTCGTAAAGGCATTCTGCCCCTTATAAACGGCACATAGATTAGTATTTCAAAATAGTCTGAATGAGTAGCTTCAACATTTACAGCAGCACTCCTGCATCAGTACAAGCATAAATCCTAACCATTTCATTCTGCTTAAACTATACTCACAAATTAGGATTTAAGTAATTTTTTAAATATTGTCATCACGCCACGTGTTCACATGCTAGACCTAGTAACTGGGCACTAATCCAAGTTATATTCATTTCAAATTACTTATTTAGAGTTTAAAATAATCATGTTAATTAATGATAAAGTTATTTTATTTAGAACTCTCAAGAAAAAGTATTTAAAACTTACCTGCGTTTCTGGTTGTGAGATACATCATCTTTTTCTTTTTTTTGCTACTTATAGTTCCACAAAAAGGTCCTGAAGAATGACAAGACCAATATAACTTAGATAGTATGTCAAGATATGATCTTAAATTGCCCTGCCATGTTCTATAGGGGTAGGATAATTACCTTCCTTAGGGGAAGGGGTGAATCGGGCCACTGAATTTTGATACTGTACCAGTAGGTGGCAGAAAGGGATCAAAAATTATTTTTGAGAGAAAAAGCAGATGTGCTGGAAGGATTAATTCTCCACGTATTTCAAATAAATTGACTTGTGTATTTAGACAGCAGAGGCAAAGAAAGGTGAGCCCAGACTCTGCTCATTACTTCTTGTGTCGAGTTCTTCACCTGAATTGTCCCAGTCTCTTCGAACAAATGCCTTTCTCTTCTCTTCCAGGAACTGGCTTGGAATGAGACCAGCGCTTCCTCCCTCTTTTACATGGCTGGCCTAGAATCAAATAAGTATTCCAGTGACCAAAATTTGACAGTTTTCTAGTTAGTAAGTAGGACAAACACTGGTCAGTTAAGAAAATGTTAATTTTCTATGAAAATCAACCTTTCATTCCATGGAACTATATGCTAAACCATTTAAACACCACTGTCCTGAAGATTCAGCTGGTACCCAAGACTCTCTGAATATATATGTTATCGGGTAGTGAAAATTTGAGACCCCAACAAAAGGAACTACAGGCTACTTAAACATTAGAATGTTTTATTTATTGAGAGAGAGAGAGAGAGAGAGAGAGAGAGAGAGAGAGAGAGAGTAGATAAAACACTAAATCAAGGAAAGGAACAAGGAAAGCTGTTTTATACAAGCACGTGTTAAGGGGACATTTCATCTAGCACCCTTTCTAAGGCATGTACTAAAATCCTTAATTCTACTATGCTGCTGTTACTCCGAGGTCAAATCAATAAAAAGGAGTCAATACTGGGAACACAGAGTATAAAATTTAATTCATGCTACCAGAAATCTGAATATTCTGAGGTAGTAAATTTAAAACAGGTAAAACGGGCTGGAGACCTGGCTCGGCAGTTAAGAGCACTTTTTCCTCTTGCAGAGGACCCAGGTTTCGTTCCCAGCACCCATACTGGGACACTTGCAACTGCCTCTAACTCTAGTTCCACGGGATCTGATGCCTTCTGGCCTCCATGGGTACCTGAATGCCTTCTGGGCTCCATGGGTACCTGAACACATGTAGTACACACACACACACACACACACACACACACACACACACACACACACTTCTGGCCTCCGTGGGTACCTGCACACATGTAGTATACATACACACACACACACACAGAGTCACACACATTCAGGCATAGTCACATATACATAAAATTAGAAAGTCCTAAAATAGGTGAAATTTGACCTAATATAAAAAAAACGCAAAAACTTAGAATCAAAATAAGTGATATTTTTAAGTGGCAATGACTTCCATCACAATGCCAGTTTTAAGCAAACCTGAAAATTGGAATTAAAATAACAGACTATCAAAATGAAAAAAAAAAAAAGAAAGCAAAAAGGGCTGAAATGGTGGTGGGATTAGAAAACAGCATCCAGAGAAAATGAAACAGAGGGAAATGTGGATGCCTTAATTTACCATGCCACTGAGGCTGTTCTTATTCTATAAATCATCTCTCCTCAGAAGTCATATAATTTATTAGCGTTAATACGGTTACCAGCACCCCAGTCAACTTCAGTGTTTGGTGCTGGATCCTAGGTCCATTCTTCTTTTCCCTTGTTCCCTAATAAGTTAGCTTGGAGAGTGAAGGGTCTAGACTTTCTTATTTGTCAGTTTCTTCAGTCCTGAATGCTGTGGTTGTCAACTGATATAAACTGCAAAGACAAATTTCAAAACACTGACAAAATATGGCCCCAAGTGGGCTCTTCTTGCCCAACAATGTATTTGAAGGCAACTGCTCATGTGAAAGAACTGCTTCATCTTATCCCTAGACCATGGGACAGTGCTGCACGCAGGTTAAATCTGCATTTATTAACAGCTACTCACAAATTCCCTCTCAATTTGGTCTTCTGTCCACAAAATTAGTAGCCATGAAGCAGGAACTGTTCATGCAGGAAAAATCATGGGAACAAATGCTTCCTGCACATTCAGATACTGGCCAGATCTAAGATTAAAAATAGAAAGGCAGTTGAGGATTTTTGAGAAGCATACTAACCTGCCACCAATTTGGGTCTTCTCTGTTTACAATCTGAAGAATTTCTCCTTTGGAAAACTTCAGTCCTGCTTCTTTGCAGGGTATCAGGTTATCACTGAATGGATTATAATCAAAATGACACTTGACAAATACCTAAAACACAGCACAGTGAAAAAGGCTTCATATCTATCATCTGCCACTGGATATCTGAAATTAAACAAGTCTGATTTAGTTGTGACTGACTCTTACTCAGTATTTGAGATAAGAAACTTACCTCTCACAAACCAAAATTTATTAGAATATTAGTATAACAATTTGGTATAAAAATAAACACTTATTACAGTGTTAGTTTTTAAATGCCTAATCTTTTTTTCATTTTTTGGTGATGCCCAGGATTAAACTTGAGGCCTGGCAGGCAAGTAGACAAGTGTTCTACTACTGACCCACACCCCTGCCCACACCCCTGCCAGCTTCTAGTCCTAAATCACCAAGTTGAACAACCACTCAACTCCACCAGTCTCCTGCTTCCCTCCACAATCTTTCCACTTGATCTCCCAACAAGCACTGCAAAATTTCCAACTTAAGTAAGTGTTGTTTTGCAATTAAAACTTGAAATAATATACACAATTAATGTAAGGCACATTTTTCAAATGTATCAGGACTGGGTTTCTGTAGATATCCTAAAATCAAAATTAAGCAGTTAAAATGTTGAAGAGAGACCTGAAAAATATTTGCTAACCTTAAAAAAATTAGCTCAACGTTTTCCTCTAGTAATGTTGAACCAGGGTCTCCCTGTAGCCCTAGCTAGTCTGGAACTTAGGTAAACCAGGCTGGCCTCACAGAGACCCACCTGCGTCTGCCTCCCTAGTGAGATGCCATAAGGCCTGAGCCATGAAGCCCAGCAACCTCAAGTAATGTTTTAATGAGAGAGTTACATTGGTCAAAACTAATATAGAAAATGCTTTCTTGAAATTATCTTACCCTAATTTATATGAGTATTTAAATTTAAATGAGTATTAATTACTTGTGAGACATGTCATACAAAATCAACTATTTTCTAATTTATGTTCATTGAAGTATGCACATTTCTCTTACATTTGATTTATTAATAAAAGTATGTCAGTTACTACTGTTACATAAAACCTCCAGCATTTGTAACATTCTGCTTAATTTTAAAATTATTTTGATTTATTTTTATTTTATGGGTATCTGTATTTTGCCTGCATGTATGTAAGTGCATCCATGTTGTACAAACACCGAGGAGGCCAGAAGAGGGCATTGGATCCCCTGGAACTGGAGTTACAGATGGTTGTTAGCTGTCATGTGGGTGCTGGGAATCAAACTTGGGTCCTCTAGAAGAGCAGTTAACCACCAAGCCATCTCTCCAGCCCCTTTATAAATTTTAATATTTGATGGCAAGTTTAGATCAACTGCTTTCTTAAAATAGACTTGTTTAATACAGATTTATAGAAATTCAAATTTTTATCTTCTAAAGAAAAACTTTAACATCAGAAGATAAACTTCAATAAGCAGAAAAGGATACAATTAGTCAAAATAACAATATTACTTTCTATGTTTACCATATTTTACAACTACTACCAAACAAGATATGCGAATCAGTAGAAAGAAAACACATTATTAGTAGTTGGTATAAAAGAAATCCCAAACAATCAGCATGCTAGCTGCATACTAAGATTTTAAAAATAAGTCTGGGTGCACCTGATAAAATTTATAATCAGATGTTCCTGATAGAAAGCATTGGAATCATTTTCAACAATTTTGAAATGGCTTAAAAAAATGCTTAAAAAAAAAATCAGGAAGCCATTCTTCCCGACACATAATTTTAGAAGTATCTAAGAAGCAAGCACACCAACAACAGTAGGAATGTGGCTAACATGAGACCAGCATGCAGCTCACGGTTCCTGAATGAACTACCCCAAGCTGAGGTTTAGTCAAGGTAAGCTTAGCTGACTGGTAAGACAGAGCAAAGGAATGCCACAGAATGTTCTTACAGGATATCATACCTGATGGACTTGTGCTGGATGCCTCTCCATATTGATGCAACTCTAAAAATATATTTTCCAATTGCATAAATAAAGCCAGACTTTTAACTTTTAACTTAACAAAATATAAGCAAGTTACTGGCTCATTTTATTACTTCATTCATTTGGGAAAGCAATTTTTTTTCCTAATTAATTGCTCACAGGTTATAAAACCTGTAAATTATAAATGATAAAAGCAAAAAGTTATGGACATTTGACAGGAGGCAGAGAGAAGAGCTTGGTATAAAAAGTTATAAAAATACTTGCATATTCTCCATTTCTCAAGAAAGGCTCACTGAGTGGAAAACGCTGCCCCCTAAGAAGGGTGTTTATTTGTGGGACAATACAAGCTATAAGCATAAAATTGCAAGTTATTTCAAGTTTCAGATGTTAATTCCCCTGCTCACTTCCAACTGTACTGGTAAGATACAAACTCCACCAATCAACTGTAAAGGATTTCCAGAAAGAACCATTCCTGTATTTACCAAGCTGCTTTTGGAGCCTTACCCTCATGCTCAAAAACTTGGATTATCCTGGGTTTATGTGGTACAACTTGTCTGAAAAATTAATTAGCCTAACATTTGATCTAGGAATTTTGTGAAAACTTTAGTTACTAAACCCCATCTAAGAAAATATTTTAATTCTGTATTCTCATTATTAAAGGAATAATTGAATGAGCAATGATTTAAAGTAGATGGAACAGAGAAAGGAAGCACAATAGTTTTAAACATAGATGTTCAAATTATTCGGAGTAGACATGAAAATTTAAACTGTATTAGAATAATATTTTCTGTGTATCTACTTAGCAGAAATTCAAATATTTGACACATTCTGCATATAGGACTGTGGGCTAATAGGAATTTTCCTAACAGGCTTGTAGAAGAATGCTCCAACCCCTTGGGAGGACAGTTTGGCAATAATTATCAGTATTACAAATGTGCAAACCTTCTGACCTAGTAATCCACTTCCAGAAATGGATTCAGCAGTTATATTACTCAAATACAGGTGAAGTGACTTATATACAAGATGAATAACTACTGAATTATTCATATGAAAATGATTACAAGCAATCTAACATTAAGCTGCCTTAAGAGCTAATGCTAAATCTATGTAATGTAATGCGAGTGCCCCCTCAACTGTGTGTGTGTCTGTGTGTGTTTCTGTGTATGTCTCTGTGTGTATGTGTGTATAAGCAGTTCAGATACAAAGGGAAAAATCATTAAGATACATGGTTTAGTGGGGGAAAATAGAGTTCGAATGCAGATATACTATGAAAAAGGAGTATAAAAGGAGCAAGGGTATGTAATTTTTATTTATTTATATGCGAATAAAGAACTTGCTAGCGTAGTTTCTTAGTGAGGTGATGAAAACTAGGTAGATAGAGAAAAGGAGTCAGGAAGAGACAACTGAATACACAATCATATATATTTTTAAGTTTATGAACACAGGGGACCATTCATGTATTCCAAATTAATTTTTGTAGAAATACAAGATGCAGTAAGTTCTACACTAATCACTTAGATGAAGTAACAAGGACCCCAAACCTGAAACACCTAAAATCTTACACAGAAGCTATAAAACAATGTTTCAGAAGGTATCACAGATCAGGCAAGGAAGACAGTGATTTCCTAAACAAAATTAGCTTTACAACTGTCCCAGCTAACATCACCGAGGAACTTCCAAGGCTGTAGCTTGGGATGGGAGAATCTTATTAAAGCCTGGTGGTCTCCAAGTTGAGATGAACTGGGAGACCAAGAAGCTCAAGGTGGCAACAGAACTTGGAGAAGACTGGGTGAGGAAATCCAGAGAGGGCCTGAGAACCATGGAGACTCCCTCTGGCCTTAGCTATCCACCAACTAGTGCCATATGCACAGGAAACAACTTAGCAACTCTCTCCTCAGGATGGGAAAGAATCATCTGAAAGCACTACAGGGAGCATACTAGAAGGTCATACAGTATCAAGAACTCCTCTTCCTACTAGCTGGGTGGGGGAAAAAATCTCGTAATTTATGAGACGCTGTGGGTTGGGTACTTAGAAGGGTTATAGTCTTCTTGGATTCTGGTTGTTATCTATCAAAGCTTAAGAAGCAAGATCTTGAAGGTTCAAACATCCCTCAGGAAAACTAACTGCACCCTAGGACAAGGCTTAAGAATATCACTGGTACCAAAATATCCTGCACATAAGAAGCAAAATTCACAGTGCCTAGTAGCCAACTAAAAATTATCAGGCATGCAAAGAAGGGGGAATATATAATCTGGAAAGAGGAGAAAAGTCAGTAAGAATAGCCCAGAAGTAGCCAGGTGCAGCGGTGTGTACCTATAATCCCAGCACTTGGGAAATAAAGGCAGCAGGATCAGGAGTTCAAGGTCAACTACACAGTGAGTTCGAGGATAGTTTAGAATATATGAGGTTATATCTCAAAAAACAAGAACAACCCACCCAAAACACTTCTATAGGCAAAAAAAGTCCAGAAATGACAAATATGAAAGAATTAGTAAACAAAACTTAGTACAACCAGTTATAATAGCTTGTGCCTGTAATCTTAGCACTTGAGAGCTGAGGTAAGAGGATTGAAGGCCAGCCTGCTAAGGTGTAAGACCCTGTTTCAAAACAACAAGGACAAGAATCATCTTAATTTTACATATTGTATTTCTATATTCAAGAAACTAGAAGAGGGATTTGGACTATTAAAAAGATACAATAGGGGCTGGAGAAATGGTTAAAAATACTGGTTGTTCTTGCAGAAGACCCAGGTTCGAATCCCAGCACCCACATGGCAGCTAACAACTGTCCGTAACTCCAGTTTCAGGGGATCTGACAGCTTCTTCTGTCCTCTGTGGGCAATGCACTACACGGATGCACTTAACCTACATGCAGGCAATACACTCATACACATAAAATAAAAATAATAAATAAAACATCAAAAAAAGACAATAGCTATAAAAAAAGATTCAAGAGATGGGCATGGTACATGACTATAACCCCAGCACTCAGAAGGCTAAGAAAGGATAATCACAAGTGTGAGACCAACTCAGGCTCCACAGCAAGATTACCTCAAAAAAAAACCCCCAAACTTATACAATTCATAATACTTTAATTTATACCACACT